GGCCGCGCGTCTCGCTACCCGCCGGTAATAGGGAGTTTTCGTAGACCGCGCTGCCTCCTCCGCTAAGCGTTCCGCAACGAAGAAGTTGCTACTGCGCCTGCGCGCCGATAGCCTTGTCTGTGGAGTTCCCGCTATCGTAGCGGGTTGTGGAGTGCCTTGCGGGGCGGCGAAAACGATCTACGAAAACTCCCTAATATCACGCTTTGATGGCGGTGAAAACTGGGAAAAAAAGGAGAGGAACGATGTTTCGGTCTCGGCAGAAAACAAAATATCACTTGTTTTAATTAACTAGAGTGAATCTGGCAGAACATGATAGAACTTCGGAAACGGAAGGCCATCCGCATTCAGATGATGTCTTCGGATTAGGTAGCTCAAAAAATAGATATAATCATCGATAATAATAATAACTAATTATTTTAGATGAAACAAAAAACACGCATACAGACAACACTTCTTAAATCAACTGTGTAAATCAACCTCTCAACAGTTGTTAATGTCATTTGTACCACGCGTGTCGAAGGCGCGCTATGAAAGAGTCTATAAGTTGTCCAACAACACAAGCCCACAGTTCACTTTGTGAGAGTGTCCCGCCCCCAACAAGTCAGAAACCGTACAAACAAAGCGATATATCGATACAATTAGACCACCCGCAACAAGTCGTTTTTCACTCCGCCGACTTGACAACCAGATTCTAGAAAAAGAAGCAAAAATCGTTCTCGCACGTAATTTCCCGCCGGCATAAACCTTCTCCATTGCAAAGGCACCATTATTTCCATTTTCTTCGGGAATCCTACTCTGTCACGCCAGCCGCTGCCTACAAGCAAGTGCTCGTTCTCAAGAGTTCCCGTCCCCCCATCGTCCCCTCTCCCCCACTCCAACCTCGCAGTACATAGCCCCGTGAAGACGAGCCATCAGGCACAATAAAAGCCTGCCTTTATTATCGTAGGCAGACAAGGAGAGCTACAAGCACTCTGACTGCTTCTACGTCGATGGCTGGAAGCGCCGGAAGTCATCACCATTCGGCCGCCTCGACTTCCGGTGGCGCGTCGAACGCTTCAGACGGCGCTGTGTGTATCGAGCGATCCGTGACGTGCTCCATCATCGGCACACAGAGGAGCGGCGGCTGCCCCGAGCTTGGCCAATAAAACTCCCCCCCCCCCCCTTCCCCCTTTTGTCGTCGCCCGACTAATGTCTTGGAAGAACTCATTAACGCTGCGTGGTGAGACGCACTTAGTGACGCTTGCTCGTCACGCATGCACCAACGCACGCGCCGACAATTTCTTCTTCTCCAATTCGCGGTTATTCGAGTTGTTTGCGATGTTGACGGTGTAATGCGAGAACTTTGACTGCGTGTCAGATCTTACTAGATGTTGTGTGCTCTCCGCCTATCCACGATGAATCTATCGGATAAGATGGGGCGCTTCTGTTTTTAAGTTAAGAGAGGGTGTAGGGATATTGATTTGGAATAGACATTTCATTCCTGGAGAATCCGGGCGAAGCACTACACGAATGTGTCCCTTCCTTTCTTGTGATAATATCCTTCATGATTAAAATGCGTTGGCTGGAGGGAAAGGGTGTGTTATAGTATTACAAAAAGTAGCTTTGGTAAATAATACAATACATTCAATATGAGGGACGCAGTGAATGCAAGTTCAACTTCAAAATTACAGGAAAACGATTTTTGTTTTTGAGAAAAGACCACAGAAAACTGAGTTTGAACTATTCTTAGCAACTATATAGTATCCAACTAACCCAAGTGTGAGGATAGGAAACTGTTGAAAGCAAAATGCACAGAAAAGCTGCCAAAAAAAGATATTGTAACGGACCCGGCTGTGCACAAATCTGGGTTTTGGAAGTTTTCTCATTTATTTTGATTACAACGGTTACACATATGTGAATCTGAATTATATACTCTCAGAGATCCCCAAAAGGTTCCGAAGATTTAAGTTAAAACAAATACATATCTTATTTTTTCTTGATTTTTGACTGGTCTTGAAACTTAATTCATCGTAGCTTTCATTTGTATAGAAAAAACTTAGCATCGAAAATATACGTTTTTATTATTTTTTTCCAAAATACTTCGATTTATCTTATTAATATCGTGAACATGCAGTTGTAGTAGCACCATAGTTCGCAGTTAGTATTTTCCCCTTAGTTTATCATCCCATCCACACATGATCTCGCGAATTGTGAAGCAGTAGTTAGCGTTCATTATGGAACACCATTGCTCCTGCTCCTCAATGCAGACGCTTGATAAAACACAACTTCGCCCTTCTCCGATTTTTTTAGTTCGCTTCTATTTCGTAGAAGAGAAAACCTTGGCGCCTTTTTGTGGGAAATACTTCCTGATTCCCCCATTGCGTTCGAATGACGAGTGGGGAACAGCGGTTTCGGGGATCAGAAAATGCAGAGAGGAAGGACACGAAAAATAAATCTGCAACGAAGATGCTTTCTTTCCATTGGTTGTCCTGCGTTTCAACCAGCTGCACCTGTAGAGCTGTAGTGGTTAGTCATGCAACCAGTAGTAGAATAAAATTCGATCTTAAGCCATACTTAGCCATTCTGGCACTGTAGAGCGTCTCAGACTGTTTGGTATTGCATTTTTACATTTTCACAGTATAATATTCTAGGCAACATTAAACTAACAAGGTGAACAACTGCTTTCCTAGCGGACAGGCAATACAGACAATGCTAAAAAAATTCTATTGCGTTTACTTCTCCATCGAGTACTCGAGAACACATTCATCAAAATAAAAAATATATATCTTAATGGTATTTCGGATTCTGACTGAGACGTGCCGAGTCCCGTTCCTTTTTTCGGCTGTCGTCTGCCGTTCTAAATATCTGTGACTTAAACCAGCTTGCCTGCTTGTTTACTTTTCTTCGATTGTCTTAATCCTATGTATGGATCAAGTGGGCAGACGAAAAATGTGCCGCGTGTTTTTCAGCGGCACTGAGTAATTATTTGTAAGTTTTTTTTAAGCTCGAGAGTTGTCTAACTTCGGCGTGCGTTGTCTAGCTCGCTGAATGTGGCTTCCTTGAGATGGTTTTCTGTGCCGCTCCTTTTGTAAAGTGGAGCACATAACAACTAGTCAAGCCTTAAAGGTGCCCTGAGGAGGTTGCTAAGACCGCCTAACAATGGCGATAGCTCACTCTACTGACTCTAAGCACCCTAGTGTTCTCCAAATCATGACAATATGCGGCCGATTTCCACAATTAAAGAAAGAAAAAAAAAATCAAAGGTCGCAACACACCGAGTTTATCTCGGGCGATGGGAGGAGCATGTTCTGAAACAAGGACCACTGTCAGCCAATAGCAAGCGAAGGATACTCGCGCCTACGACCGGTGGAACCGCGCAGTGATATCTCGAATTTGCGCGGCTCGTTGCCCATACCGCTTGGACTGCGATTCAACCCGGCGAGTTCGCGCTCGAAAGCTGACAACCGGATGCATCACTCTCGCAAAAAAAAAAAACAAGAACAACAACAACAACAACAACAACATAGTGCGTTGTTTTGGGGACGATTATTGCAGTATTATGTTCCCTCTCCACGAAAAGCAACACTTTTTTTTACTACTCTTATTTACTTTCATCATCTATAACAGCATACACAATTTATAATAACAGCGTTTGCAATCTCAAAGAATTGTAGCGTTTTCATTCGTCATATGTCATCCTGGCTTCCGGAACAATGCTCCTCCCATCGCTGGAGATGACCTCGGACTGTTCGATCTTTGACAGTCTTTTAATAAGAAAATCGACCGCGCATGGTTACGATTTATGGATTTCTGTAACGATTAGTGCCCGCTGAGTAAGTTAACGCCATATATAGAGGATCTTATAAACCTCTTCAGGGCAACTTTAAAAACCGTATACGTAAGGAGTGGCGAGAGCAGAGAATTTCAATATCACTGCGCATTCAGTGAGGATGAGGCACTATACTCCAGGGCGGCTTTCTATGGCTATGCGATTAAAGCCAGGGGTGCCCCGATGGGCGCTCTAGCATTTTGAGCACTGATAAAAGTTGTGCGCGCGCTCTTTTCACTTCCGAAATGCTACGAAAAAAACTTGTCTACGAGTACAGCCTATTGGCTGTACTCGTAGATCTGTACTGTGATCGGTCTTCTAAGTTTGGCCGAGCGCTGACTACGAACAGATTTCCCATCGATGGAAAAACTTAAATTTTGACGGTGTTGGCAGTGTTGGTTTCAGGGCGCAATGATTTTAAGCTTCCACCATGCTCAGTACAAACACCCTGCAACTTGTTGTGCGCAAGGTAATTACGTCACGAGAGGTAACCATAGGAGGGCGCCAGCGAACACCTCGCCGCCAATAAGAACGGTGCCTCGTGAAGCCAAAAGAGGACGACAATAAGGCGCTCTCGTGTTTCTTTAGCTCTCAACGACTGTTGTAGCGTTAGTATCTGAATAGCCACTGACAACTTAAAAACCTAGGGCATGGTAACTATGTTCACATTTTTGTATCCGTGACTTGTTTGGAGCGTTGTCATAGTCAAATTTCGCATGCCTCATTAGCTGAGGAGCGGTAATCAGACTTTCGAGAGGTACCACGCCCTGCTCTCATAAACCTTGTCAGTGACCATGGGCATCTTCGTCGGCTTGGGTAACGATGACTATAAAAAAGTCATGCAAAAAATAAATGATTAGGAACGATCACAACGAAAAACAACAACAACAACAACAGGAACTGGAGGATAAGACTTTCCAATAGACCGATCTCACCAAGCGTTCGGCACATCTGTGAACGCCGCCATAACTTTAGTCCACAGGAGGCAGGCGGGCAGTGCTCGGGACTACCCGTACAATCTGGTTCTCTGCACGTGCCGACCAGCAGCGAGATTGTCACACGTGAAAGAGGACTAAAGCTCCCTGGGTGCATCGCGACGGCGGCGCGCAGCCAAACTGGCTGGTGAGACCGGTTTCCATCGGGAGGCACACCGATACAGCGAAGCGGGAGGCTATGAGAGAGAGATACGTGCTCTTTATCCTGGTAGTGGGTCGTTTGCTGTTTCCTCAGGAGCATCGCGGCCGCGACCGGGGCTTGCGCCTGGCCACGGGTCGGCGGTGACGGGACCGTTTGGGCCCTGGTGGCGCCCCGAAAAGCAGGCCGGGAAGCAGGGAAGAAACAAAGGAGGGACCACGTCAGACCTCATGCACTCGAACAAAAGCAAAATATGCGTAATTCTCCGCGGCGCCAGCGCGAGGCTCCATGAACTACTCATGAAATCTGTTTGCAAGCTTACGTTAAGGTGAGATTTTGGTATTCGAGAGCACGGCAATAGGGAGTTTTCTTATACCTTTATTTCTCATCTCTGCTGCGCTTTTCTCAACTGAGTGGGTACTAAAACGGATGCGCGCCGCTAGACTTGCGTGCTGAGTTTTGCATCTCCTCACAAGTTCCGAATAGCATTCTGAAATGGAAAAAAAAAAACAATTTGGGAAAACTCCCTTATGAAGGCCCGGTTTAAAACAAGAATCTCGATGGACCTAGGCCGATACAACTCATACTACAGTTTAACAAGGTTAGTCGCTTCAATAAAAAAAAAAAAAGATTTTTTTTCTTTTTGTGTGACGAGCTTGTGGTGTCTAAGTGTGCGGAGTGTTGTTTACTTCGTATGCTTGATATCTTAGCGAGCGCAGTTAAATGAATGTCCTTATACAATTACCCGCCATTCAGGCATATATTCCTTAGATTACCCTAAAAGCAAGAATGTGAGAGGCAACGTAGAACCATATATACTTGGGTAGGTTGACCACCAAATTATGACCTTAGCCCATAACTTTTATTCGGTTTAAAAAGAATACAAACACAAACACAATACTGGTGTAGTTGCTTTGTGTTAGGGACGCATAATAACGCGAAGTCGTCGCTCCAAAAAAATTAACATACGACGGTTAGGAAGTTTTAATTTCTCAATAGCCAGACCCCCCAGCCATGGACGTTAGACTGCCGGCCTTTTTCGGTAGAGAGTTCGAAGCTCGGCCGTCATAGATCACTCTTATAATAACGTGATTCCGGCCAGCCCATTTCAGATATCTTTAAAGCGGTCAATGAAATGCGTTTATTATGCAAAACCTTCTGCATATACTGCTTTCTGTATCTCTTTGTAACCCTATCACCGCCCTCGCATCGTTCCCTTGCCCAAAGCACAAACACTAATTAACGTTCATGGTTCGTCAGTGTCTTTACAATAAACCACATTCTTCACTATCCTTACCCGCAGCAATATCCTATCATTTCTCAAACTCACTGTCCAGTTCTGTGACTCAACGTTTATTTCAGTCATGATTCGGTGGCTTTATACCGGCTTAACTGACCTGACGTGCGGCGACAATGACTGGCGTTTATGATACGTTAGGTGCGCACCCAGCCCGATCCCTGTTGCGTCAGGGTACAACAAGTTATTATAAGAAAGCGTTTCAAAAACTAACTTGGCAGTGGTTATGAGCAATCTGAAACAAAACTGATAGGAAGGCTCAACAACAGAAGGTGACCAGGCAGCTTTAATCGACGCGTTTCGGCATCAATCATGAAGAACGTAAGTACTCTGTCTCATGGAACTCGATGCGGTTACGCCAAGGATGAACTCATACTAAAGGCGAAATCTCTATGTTCAGCGAAACAGTTGATTAACTTTTAGTAATCACAAGCGAGCGACCTGTAATAAAAGACTAGACCAATCATATCACACTGCGGTACATTATTATCGGGAACACAACATCGTCGTTTTTTGGGGTATTGATTTGAAAGGGTACTGTAGAGCATCAAACTTTACTGCTTGCATTACTTCCCTAAGTGAGCACTTCAACTACACTCACTGCTTTAATAGAAAAAAATTGATTCTACATTAAAAAAAAAAAAAAAAGCGAGGATTGCCTGCTTGAGCTAACAGTGTTGCAATGTTTACACTGCCTGGAACAGCTGCCAAAACACTCGATTGCGCGTGTAACGGTGCTTCCTTCGCAGATGGAGTGATAACACCGCGCAATTACGCGCGCAGAGAAAAATGCGCAAATGTCGCACGAAATTATTAAATAAATAGTATAGTATTACATACAAACGGGATTAAATTGTTAGTATGGATACGCATAAATGCAGAAACGCGGTTCAATGTTTGGTATAATGAATTTATTCGCACACTATACTAGGTAAAGCTCGCAACATGAACTTCTCAAAATCGAGTTCATGCTTGTGCATAACTGACCAGCGACATTCGTTGTGAAGAAGCGCTGCAGCAGCTCTCTCTCCCCCCCCCTTTTTTTGCTTCTTTTTCCTCTCATAATAATAAAAAAAAAAAAGATTGCAGGACGATGCGCGTTCATAATACCTAAAAACGCAATAAAAAAAAAAAAGAAGCGTACGTGACAACTTCGTTTTGGTGGGGATCCGTCTGAAAGCATGATAGAGGGCTTTGGCAAATCGTGTTTATACAAAATTAATAGGAACAGCGCTTGTGGGCTAGTCTTTTAAGCGGGCAATGTGCACTGTTTTTGTTGGTCATCACCTCATTGCTATGGGTTAAGGTATGACTCCCTGTGTACAACTGTTCAAGCTTCTTTTGAAAAAAAGAAAGTTATAGATTTGTATTTACATGCTAAGGTCTGTTTGCGTTTGAGGTATGGCGCCACTGCTTTACGATGTGTATAAGAAATTGATTCGGTGCGGTATGGCTGCTAGCCTGTGGTTTTTAAAGCGCACTTCGCAGTAGTGATACACGGACGCACAACGGCACGACGCTCACCGAGATTAAAACGTGCAGACAAGGGGGACTGAGGCCAGCACTCCTAGCTTCTGCATCGCAAGCTTTCACTCCACATGCATTGAGCTGCGGTGCGTTCACCCACTAAACCACTATCGGCAAATGAAGATAAAGTGCTCTTGAAGAAAATAATATTAATTGCCAAGGTAACGGTCCGCTGATGCACCCCCAGATTACATAGCAGAAGAGCCCAATCACTCGCACGCCCATCACGCGACAGTTTAGTCTTAAGGTAGCCTCAAATTATTTGGTAGCCCGCAGGATAGCTCTCCTCCACCAAACTAAGGCTACCGGGAAGCACCACTACTTTCCTCGCAAAAGAGCAAGAGGGCGGGGGGGGGGGGGGGGGGGGGGGGAGGAAGGGGGGGGAAGGGGGGGGGGGGCTGGTATACATTTCCTAGAGTTGTTTGCGATGCTTACGTAAGTCAGCAGAAAATTTTATGCTACTCGCATTTCCGAACGAGTGGAACGATCCCCTGGTACAGCATACTTGTTTTATAAATCTCAATGAATATGTTTTTTTAGAGAGCCTTCTTGCGCCAGAATAAATCTATAAAACAGGCTCTGCGTGCTTTAAACGTGCCTTTTCAATGAAATTAGGGATCACCAAACAATGTAGACTAATATGCGAAAATTTCTAGATAAATATTTTATTATTAAAAAATATAAATATATGTCTCTAAACGCGTTCTTGTCCAACTAACAGGAATTACCTTACGGTCATATATCCTGAAGGATGACGTTAAAGTTATTTTCCATTAAAGCAGCGCAGTGCACGTACACTTACCAGTCGTGCACCTAAAAGAAAAAACAACTAAAAGTAGAAGTACATATTCCAATATTGCAAGTGTGTTGTTTTGGGTGCTCGTATAAAATATGAATTATAAAATATACAAAAACAAGGCACATGGCTGACCTCATTTCGATGTTATTACATCAAGGTTTTATACAAAAAAACTATTTTCTCTGAAGCAGGGCTTATATGATTAAAGAAACAACTTTGATCCTATGGGAAGTTGGCCATATTATGTTGAGAGCCGAGGACACGGATATTTCTATTATATTATAAAATGTTTAAAATGTCAAACTGTCACAAAGCATTTTTATTTTCAAAACAATTTAGCCGCTTTATAAGCAGACTAGTCTATTTCACTATCATTAAAAAAAACGATGCGCCATATCAAATAAATCTAGCCCCCTGCATAGAAACAGCACTCCTACCAAAGCCAAACTTCCGCATTTCTGTAACACGAAGAAAAAGTACGTGATACACCCTCCAGGCGACGGCGATGCATTAGGCCTTACTTGGTTTTAGAAAAATGTATGGTATGCCATCTCTGCTTTACAGAAATTGAGCACAAATATTTGGTTACTGCTGTTGCGCAACCAGCCTCTTTTTTATACTTTTCATCACTCTCGGATGGGCCGAGAGCAGCTGCAAGAATTACACGCATGCCGGTAGCGTCAAGGTTTTTTCGATCATCGATGTTTAAAAGTTTAAAACAACGATTGCATCTTCGAAGCTCTGCTTCAACATAACTTCCCCAGAACCCGGCACAGACAGTACGCTATTCGTCGGAACATTTCTTGGGCCTCCACATTAGTCTAGGCCATTTCGTAAATCGCAAGCATTGGTTATCAGCCTACTCTGCGAGAACTTTGTTACCTGGAACTTGATAATAAACACTGCAATACATAATATAATTTTCCTACTTCACTGCCCTAGGCGATTTCAAGTATATTTTATAAATATACTTTTTGGAGTTTTCTCATTTGGTATGTGAACCTTTTTTGGAAATCTAGCCCATCAAAATAAGATCAAGTCTCGATTCCCAGAGTGTACTTCGGTAAACAAACAAAAACACATAAAAAAAAAACAGATCAAACTTATGACTGCTATATCCGCACCTCCTACTTTTATTCAACAATAAAGTATCCATTGACGTGCTTTAATAACTTTTCGATCTTAACCAGTGCTTGGCTATCTCGTCAGCGCGCGAGCATTCCCCACTTCCTTGATGCTGCCCGGTGAAAGGCGTGTCCTTCTTTAACCGTCATTAAGAGCACGTGCTCACGTTCAAGTGTATAAAACGCAAATTCTGATGTATATGCAGGTTACGTAACTGCACGTAATGACCGGCAAGAAGAAAGTTATGACAGGGTTGTACCACCTTGACCACATGAATCGACTGCTACAAACTCTGAGGAACTACCTTATCCGAAAAGTACTTGGAACAGCCAGGCGCGAAAATCTGCTTGGGTGCTCAACGAAATGACTAAGCGGGAAAAAAAGGTTTGGACCTGTAAACGTTGTCTGCGCTGTG